TTATGGCTTTTGGACAGACTTCTAAAGCAAAATAAAAAAAAAATCAAAAGAAAGCGATATTTTCACACTGAAATCTGCATCCAATTAATACGCAGACAAAATGACTGTCTTTATTCAGAAAAACGCGTTTTGTTCACATAAACCTGAGATTTGACAAATTCTTTCGGGGTGCTAAACTCATATTTTTTTCCTATCAATTTGTACGGCTTTGGACCCCATCAAAGATTTACACATTTAGTGTATCACTTTGGAGTTAGGTTTCCATTAAAGCGTCTAATGTACTAAGCTCAAATGATCATTTTGGTTACAACTTGTTGGTAAGAAATTGCAAAATCAAACCGATTGGATAATGATAATAAAATAACCAGCAGAGAAATAATCGAGTCGTGATACAAAACTACTCATTTAGAAATGATTTTGCCTCGATAAGTGTAATCGTTACGGTAGTCATTTGTCTCCATGGTTAACACGATAACTCTGAAACAGGGGTGATCAAATCCGAGTACCCGAAGTGCCCGAAGTTTCGGGTACTTGATCGTCTAGCCCGTGTTCTGACCCGGATGTTGCGGGTACCCGATAATCGAGTACTTGGATTTTGCAGGTACCCATAATTCAGGTGATCGGATAGCCGATTTTTTTTTATTTTCACAAATTTAAATTTTCAAATTACATACTCCAACATTCAAACATAAAATTTAAAAGTGTTTTTTTCGTGAGATTTTTTTTATTTTATTAGTTTAATTATATATATATAATTATTAATAATTAAATATGTAATATTATTATATATCAAAAAAATTAATTTTTGTGACCCGTGCCCTGTCGGCGCGTGCGTGTGAGTGAGGAGATTACCTCACCACATTCAAGGAAAATATGAGAAGACTCTTTATATACCATTCCAATGGATGTTTCCTCCCGATGTGAGATACAATGCCCTTATTACCTTGAAGCATTATCAACACAACTTTCAAAAGTTATAAAATAATTATTAAATTAATTATATTATTATAAAATAATTATTGACTTAATCTGTTTGTATGTTAGGAAAAGAAAAGAAAATTTGAGACATGGATTTTGACGAAAAAGTCATAAGTAAACCAAAACAGTCGACTTATATAGAGTTACTCTACGAAATTGCATGCGAATGCTTGCATACAACAAAGGATTATTCAATCTCGTTCCAGATTATTATATTTTTATCTAAATTATAATTAATGATTAAGTTAGATTTTATTGTAATTCAAGTGGTTGAAGATTTTTTGGTAATTGACTTTATTTAATAGAATAAATATTTATTTTAGATAAGAAATTTTGATGACCAAATATTTGACTTTATAGATAAAGATTATGTTTTAACTTTTAGCAAAAAAAAAAGTGAGAAATAATTATTTTAAAGAGATAATATTTTTAGATATTTGTAATCTTTTACATGACTTATTTTATATTGATATTTCACTCTCAAATTCCTAACACACACTAATCGCTTTCAAATCAATGCTACTCTATTACAATGATAAAAAGTGGTTGTCCTTTTATTATTTTCCGAGAAAAGTTGCAGTAGCGTCGTAGTTTTGTCAGCTGTAACGTCAACGTCGCAACTAAAAGATGAACAGCCAATCTTCGCATTTATACCCTTATTTTATTTTCCCTTTGTACTTGCTTGTACCTATTTGCCGTTAGTTTTTACAATCAAACCTGCAACTCGGGAGCAAGAAATTTCCAAAAGGTTAAAGGTTTTGCTTTTCTTGAATTGGGTTTAAATAAGACGATCTCTGTATATATATTTTTTATTTTCTAAGATAGAGATAATAGAAAAATATAAGAATATTATAATAATTATTATTCAAGTCATGTTAAATATTTTTAATCTACTTATCCAATATATATATATATATAATCTGAATATGAATTTGGTTCAATTTATGGACTCCATGAGTTCGTTTTAGTTCAACCAGAAACAAACCAGACCCATACCCCATATATCCAGGTTCAAGCCGTAGCCCAGTAAGAGCATGGGCCTATACCTTTTTTATACGGCTGAATTCATTAGCAAATATATATTTTTAGTATAATTATCAGCATATAACTTAATGGTAGACACCCATTATAAAATAACTTTCTTAATCTAATTAGTTTCATTTATAATATCAAAATTCGACCTTTAAAAATGTAACGGATAATATCAGCATTAAACTTAATTCGTCCCTATACTTGTTGAAACAAAGGTTTCAGGTTACAGCTTGAATCGTTGTCTACAAAAAAGAAGAACGAACAACAAAATCCATATACTAAACTTGCCGTTGGTGGACATCGACCCTATATTATTGATCTCCCAATAAGGGGGGAAATCCCCTTACAAAATTCATACATGAATTAACTAAACTTGCATCTTGTTCTCCAAGAACCGGTCCTTTTCATTTCTTTGCAGACGCGGGAGTCGGAGCGCCACCGCCGATGGTTGGCCTGCAGGAAACAAATCAGATTAAGGTCATTTGATTGTTTGTAGATAGGGCTAAATGAACGGCAAATCATGAAAACTTACAGTCCAACAAAGACTTTGAAAGCATCATAGATTCTCCATTGTGCTCCAGTAAGGGCTCCAATCATGACAATACGAAGAGGAAGTCCTCGGTGAAAAGACCCCACAGTCCTATCTTCTTCACCGCCTGCAACGGATTAAAGAATCCAAAGCAAAAGATCAGGTTGATCATGTCAAAAGAGAAATATATACACAAACAGATATATATATATATATATATATATATATATATATATCCATGACTGAAAGAGTATAAGGTTTGTACGTACATCGCTGACCGTTGCTCCCTGTGCATTGTTGAGAAAAGACACCAGGTTATCGGCTGGATGTGATACAATAGCACAGAAAACACCAGCAATGTACCCACCAGCAAAGCTCACCCCAAGATGCAGAGGTTTACTGCACTTATCTTTCGGGGTGGGGATGGCATGCTTGAAAAGTAACTCAACGATTGTCTCAAAAGATGCAAATTTCATCATTGTATCTATCACAAATATCAATCCAATTTCATCACTACAATATATTATCTGCCAGCAGGGTGAAAGAAGTTACAAAAGGAAAATGTTTGGCTTACAAGGAATCTGTCTTCCCCAGAGAGGGCCGATTCCTTTGAACAACCTACAAACATGTACAAAAAACATAGCGTCAGCACTTCAAGCAAAAACAAAAATCCAGTACCTAAAGCAGAAATTTATAGGACAGTTATGAACTTATGATATATACCCTCCAAAGCCTTCAGCGTTCAAGAATTTCGGTAATCCATCCGATAAGCCTCGGGCGAATCCTGGCTGAGTTTGGACACGGACTTCGACAGTCTCCAGGGGCACAGAGCAACATCAGCAATCACTTCAGCCGATGCCAAACCGGCAAGATAAATTAGGGTCTTGTAGGCGTATTCAGGACCCGCAAGGTCGGAATAGTACTTCTTAAAGAATTCGTAGAAGCCGAATTTACAACCACCCTGAGCACTGTAGCCAAGCAGAGTAGGCACCCAGCCCTTGGATAAACCTTTAATACCTTGTTCCCTCAGCAAAACTCCAAACCCAGATTAGATGCTCTTGTATTTTGCTGGATCAATCTGATATTTCAAAAGCATTTCAAATTTTGCATAAACAGTTATAATTAAATCAATGAAGCTACTTATGATGATTTATGTAGGTGATAAAATGTTGAAAATAATTGAACGTTCGCATATTTAATCCGAAGGGACAATCAACCATTTCTAAACTGTAATTAAACTGTTTAGTGGAATCCTTTTTCATTTTAATTTCACGAAAATTTAAATAATATTATAATATTAGTTGAAGGCAATACAATAATGGTAGCTCAAGCAATGAATCAAGTAGATCGGGTGAAGGAAGAAAGGAATACCTGCATATTGCACTTCACAAGATCGAAAGGCGTGACAGCGGTACGAGTAAGGCCGCAGCTCAATATCCCACCCATTGCATACGCTTGTAGAAATACAGTTTTGTTGGTGCATTTCCAGAAATAATTAGCGCCTACATAGATTTGGATAAAAAATAAATAAATACGCTATCCACATATCTTAGTTTGATTTAATTTGGTAATATCATCATCATCTTCTTATTTTTAATTCGAATTCTGAGTTATCGAATTAGCTTAAATTCAAGTTTATGGAGTCACATGATCATTACTAGACATGTCTAATAAGATATGTAAAATTATAATTTTCAAATTTTATGACATTTTATTTTCATTTTCGATGTAAAATTAATGTCTCTATATTTTCATTTTGTTCTCCACTCAATCTCATGACATCTTCGTGTTGGATCATCATCACTATTATTTATAAGGTCTATGTTACTAATTGGGGTGCTAGACGTGAAATTAACTAGTCAAACGATTGCTCTGATATTACTTATTACAAGACTATTTTACCTCTACGAAAAAACATATTCGATAGAATGTACTATTCAATCACTTTTAAAGTTCAAGGTCTTCCCTTTCCTCTATGGTGCAGGGTTGATGTTCTTATCTCTCAAAAATACGATATTTATCATTTATACTCCTAATGCTCAACATGAAAATAAAACATTTAAAAGATTTATCTGATATATTTATTACAAGTCATCATCATCTTTCTAAAAAGATATATTTAATAGAATATATATTACCCTATTTTTAGACTCTAAAACTTTTTATTTTTCCTAATATAAAGTTAATATATCCGCTTTTAGTTTAATGTATTTGTATATTATAATTAAGTTTTAATATAAACATATAAGAGCGTAAAAGTTTAGAATATAGGATACTAAAATTATTTATGGGCCGTTTGCGAATGTTTATATAAGGGGGAGGATCCTTCGCCATCGGCGCCGAAATGTTGTAGCGCACGCGCTCCAACTCGGTTTAACACGTTGTCAAATGGGTCGCTGCTTTTTAACCAACCCTTTCAAGTCTCTCCCGCGAAACTTGCATTAAGCCATAAGACGATGTCGTCTTGCCTCAATTATCTTCTCCCCCTTCTAATTTCAACCATTTTCAACCCTTTTTCTCTCACAAACACCTGCGTCTCTCTCTCGCGAGACGAGACCAATCGCCCCCTTTCCGATTCTATCCCTAAATCTAGCTCAACTGATAAAGGATATCATTGTAGATAAACAACAGTTATGTTTAAAAGTGAAGTGATGGATCGGAGGAGGACTGGGAGTCCGGTGTACGGACGGAGTGGAGCGGAGGATCCAGCAGCTCGGGATCATCGTCTCCGGCACATCAGCTGGGTGCGGGTAGTGGTTTCTCAACTATCAAACGCACACAAAACGTAGCCGCGAAAGCCGCCGCTCAACGTCTTGCTCAAGTCATGGCTTCGCAGACCACAGATGAAGACGAGGAAGATGACGATCTAGGGTTCCGGTTCAAAGGTCCTCCTGTAATTCCTAGCTTCTCAAATAATGGTTTAAATCACAGTAATTTGCCGGCGACCTCAATGGCTCCGCCTAATAGATCTCCCTCCCCGGCGGTAAAAACTTTGAACTGAAGTGATTTTAGGAGGTTTTCTTCGCGGTTTTCGTGGATTTGATTTTTTTTTATCTGATTTTGAGTTTTGTTTGTTTTGATTAGTTAGGTCGGAATTTTGAAGAGAATGCTCCATCTGTGCGGTCCACGTCAGCAGGGAGGCCGGCAGTGTCAATGAGGTCAACGGCGCCAGCTTTCATCCCGCCGAGTAGAACTTCAGTTCGCACTCCAGTTGCTATTCCTTCGATTGATCCTCCTAATCGCCGCAGAGATAAAAGGTCAGCGTTCATGAACTTTATTGCCTGATAATAAATGTATATATGCATGAAATCTATAGGTGCTTCACACTTTAAAACTTTAAGGATTCACTTCATGTAAATATTCACGCATTTAATTAAGCATATTTTAATTGCTATTCTGTTTACTAAAAGCTTTCACCTTACTTTTAGCTATTTGCACAAGTAGCATGCTTCATAATCTGGATTAGTTGTAACTTGTAAGAGAAAATGGTGGTTTTCCACGTGATGGCATCTGAAGTTGGATGAAGAGCAACAACAAGATAGATGAATCCTTTAATTGATGAAACTTGGAATTATGTTTAAGATTTCTAGTAACCGAGTTGGTAGATAGCAAGATTGGTATATTCTAAGATTTTAAATTGGTCAACTGAGCCAATTGCTTACAATGTAGTAAAGTTCATTATATCATATTATATGAAACAGCTTATCGCAATCTCAATGTCTCAATGGTAATATCACGTGGTTTTTCTGGTTTAGATTTTTTCTTTAGATGCTGTGATCCAAACCTTCACGTCTGACTGGAAATATCGCTGGATCTTAGGATGTCATGCCATCATCATTTTGTTTATGACGTATATACTTCTATCTATTGGCAAAAATGTCTAAGCCTCAACTCAAAATTAGTTTCCGGTATACAGTTCAACATTTCTCCCTTATTGACTTCATTCTCTGTCTGCATAATCATCCATGTGATCTTGTTTTTTTCTCTTTGTTCTGTAGAGTCTCTCTCTGCATAATCATCCGCGTGATCTTGTTTTCGAAAATATTTTATTTTTTGTAATGGAAAAAGTTTAGAAAAAAAGTAAACCTTTTGCAAAACAATATATTTTAAGCAGTGAAATTATATTTTTTCAGGTTTACAGCTGATGTAGGACAACTCAAAGCGAAAGACACTGGAGATCAGCATGAAGCTTCTGCACTTCGTGATGAAGTAAGCCACTGGCAATTTCCTCAGGCATATGTGCAGATATAGCAGTGTCAAAGCATGAATACTGGTCGGCATATGCTCCTCTTCCATTTGAAGTTGTTTATGCTGGACAAAAGGCTAAAGAGGAAGCATGGGATAGAGGCTAGTTCAATTTCTGACTGTCGTAACCGGTTTTCGTCCGGGCACGAAATATTATACTTGGCGGGAAAATTGATGTGAATAAATAGTTTTGAAAATAATTTGGGAGTCGCCATCGGCCTTTTGGATCAGGTAGGTCAAATACCTAAAAATTATTTTCTTTAAAAGAGTTTTAAGAAAACATCAATTTAAAAATGAACTGATCTGCGTTTATAATCAAAAATTCGTTCTTTTTAATAATAAAAAAGGATTCGTGGTCTGTTACGTTTAGGGAAGGATTAGCACCCCTACAACGCCCAAAATTGGTACTTTTTAATTATAAATTGTCTCTATTATTAAAATTTTAAAAATAAAAAAATATATTTAATTTATAATCCTATTATTTCAAAATTATATAAAAAATATTTATTTATAAAAATATCAGAAAAGAACTTCTAGGTGTCTTAAGACAGCTCTTTTTTTTTATATTGATAAATATTAATTTAAATAATATTGTTTAATTTTAAAATACCAGAATAGGACATCCAGTTGTATTAAGACTGTCCTTTTCTTCGATATTAAAAATAAATATTAAAAAATTTAATTACTATTATATATATATATTTATGAATACATAAAAATATTTAAAAATATAAACAAATAAAATTAAAACAATAAAAATACAATTAGAACGATATATTTAATATCAGTAAAATAAATGAAAACATTTAAAATAAATGACTAAATTATAGTAAAAATAAAATTAAAAACCTAATTCATAATTAATCAAAATATTAGGGATTAAACATGCTATTTCTTTATTTTATTTATTTAGTGACTAAAATAAAATTATCTAAAATTCGGATATTATAATAAAATAAATTAAAAATATAAGCTAGGGATTAGAATATTATTTATTAAAATTAAGGGATTAATTCAGTTATTTATCTTAAATATATTATTTTAATAAAAAGGACTAAAATAAATAAAATTAAAATTTCGAGATCAAATTAAAAGTATTATGAATTCGATTTAATGACTAAAATATAAAGTTTACAAGTTCGGAGGACTGCAGAAAAGATTTAACTATTTTTTAATTACACGCATAGTCCTTCCCGAAACGACGTCGTTCGGGAAGGACTATATAAAGTCCAAAACGGCTGGCCCGAATGGTCAGCCTTCATTTCTCCTTCTCCTCTCTCTCTCTTCTCTGAGAGAAAAAAATTTTCTCTCGCTTCTCTCTAAAATAGAGAGAAGCCAGACGACCGGCCTCCGTCTGCCGGTGTTCGTCCGCCGCCGGCCACCGTCTTCGGTGGCCGGAATAATTTTTTTGGTGAAACGTAGATCGGACCGTCCTAATGACGGTTCCGATGATCTTTTCCTTTAAACGGCTCCCGATCGGAGCAAATCTAAAAAATATACCTTCGGTTTTTCGAAGGTTTTGGTGAGATCCGGTGGTCGGCTTCCTCGGTAAGTTTCTCTTCTTCCTTTTTCTTTCTTTTCTGTTTCTTTGTTGCGTTTGTTGTTGAGATCGTTGGTAGTATTTGATTTCTCTGTGTTTTTCTTCTTTCTGTGTATTTTCTGTCTCTCTTTGTCTCTGTCTCTGTTGTGGTTTTTTTTCTTCTCTTGTTCTTCTCTCTGTCTTCTTCTTTGCAGGTTGGGTGATGGCTTTATAGCTATCACCGGTGCTCATCTCGGACCAGTCCGAAGGATAGAGTTCGGTGAGTCACCGGACTTCCAGTGGTGACTCACCATTTGGGAAATACGTGTGCGGCTACGGCCGACCTTCTGGTGCCTTCGGTTGGGACGTGGCAGCGGTGGAGGCAGAGGCGGCTGGAGACAGAGGCGGCTAGGGATTAGGGTTAGGAAACCCTAACTAAAACCCTAAATGTTTAGGGTTTCGGTTTGGGTTTTGGGCCGGTTAACTGGGCTTGTAATTTAATATTATTTATATATGTATTTAATATATTTAATAATAATAATAATAATAATAATAATAATAATAATAATATAATATTTATAATATGAGTAAAAAATTAGTATCTTCAGCTGCCCCTCTTTGCTCATTCTTGTGTTAACAAGAATAGGGCAAAGATGAAAAGATAATAAATTTTTTTATCTATTTGGCTTCACTTGATCATAATGGAGATATTGAATAAATTCTTCTCTTTCTTCAGATGAATTCTTCTCATTATGAACTTTCTGCTGGGGATGATGTTGACCTCTTTCTTTCTGTGATAGAGTCATTCAAAAGGTTGAATAAGCTTTTGATGAGTTCTTCTCATTATGAACTTTCTCTAGAAAGGCTGATGCTAATCTATCTCCTTCTGTGATAGAATTATGCAAAAAGTTGAACAAATTCTTCTTATTATGAACTTCTTCTTCCTTCTTCAAATGAGTTCTTCTAATTATGAACTTCTCTAGAGAAGCTGCTCCATCAAGTGATGGATTTGAGCAAAAGGTTGAACAAGCTCTTCTCATTATGAACTTTTTCTTCCTTCTTCAGATGAGTTCTTCTCATTATGAACTTTTTCTGGAAAAGCTGATCCATCAAATGATGAATTCAGGTAAAAGGTTGAACAAATTCTTCTCATTATGAACTTCTTCTTCCTTCTTCAGATGAGTTCTTCTCATTATGAACTTTTTCTGGAAAAGCTGATCCATCAAATGATGAATTCAGGTAAAAGGTTGAACAAATTCTTCTCATTATGAACTTCTTCTTCCTTCTTCAGATGAGTTCTTCTCATTATGAACTTTCTCTGGAAAAGATAATCCATCAAATGATAGATTTGAATCTTTGCTAAAATCTTTGAAATTCCTGTTAAAAATTCAACATAGATGAAAATGAATGAAAATGCACCTATTTTTGTAAACACCTAAAATATGATGCATGAATGTTAAGTTATTTGATTTTAGATTGGTGAATTGAGTATTTCTTCAATTGTAAAAACCCAATAGATCTTTCTTCTTCAAATCAGAGAATCTATCATTTTTGACAAATGTAGATGTAGATATTATGTCACAAAAACCTCTTGAGAATAAAACTCAATAGTATAGGCTCTTGAAAAGCTTGCATTCAGGCAACATGTTGATTCTGATAACAACTCATCTGATTATGAAGTGACCTTTTCAGATGATTTCACAGATATCGATAGTTCTTTTAATATCGAGAAATCTTGAATTCTGATTCTGATGAGGAGAATAAACTGTTATTCATGACAAAAATGGGATTCTCAGAGGCTGAAACTTCAATAGTCCTGGAGAAATGTGGTTCAGATTCATCAATTGCAAAATTGATAAATTTTATATGTGCTGCTCAAATGACTAAATATGCTAACGCATTTCTTCCGGTAAAAGATGGGAAGCCATTATGCAATGATCCCAATTACAAGAAAAGGCAAAACTTGGGCCATGATTTTTTTTTGGAAAGTAATAAGCAAAAGAAGCTTGAAAAGAAGCTTCTTAATGAAGACGATCATGCAGTTCATCATTTAATTCCAGTGATTGGTTCTGTAGTTCCTACCAAACCAGATCAGATAATTCAAAGAACACTTCCAAAAGATGCTATTGAGTCTCCTTATTTCTACTATGAGCAAATTCATCTTCCAAATTCAATGATTGGTTCTGCCAAACCAGATCAGATAACTCAAAGAACACTTCCAGAAGATGCTATTAATACATTACATTTGTTCCAGTTAATGTTTGGACTAGGATATCACAGTGCTTATTAGATGTAAAGCTAGAATTTGTAGATTCGAAGCATTTCCATGCTACTACACTGAAAAGGGCTATATTCATAATTCTGCCAATTAAGAACATATTTTCTCTTATTCTGCTTCCTCCATGTGCTGATGCTTTTCCATTGACAAAGAAATGATGGCTTTCATGGGATCCAAGAACAAAGTTGAACTGTTTATAAACATATACAGGAAGTGCCAAATTGACAGAAAGGATCTGTAAGGCTCTTGAAGCTTATGACAATGAGCCACCTTCGAGTGTCCAGAAGTATGTTCTTGATGAGTGCTGAAAATGGAATCTAGTATGGGTTGGAAGGAATAAAGTTGCTCCACTTGAACCTGATGAGGTGGAAATGCTTCTAGGTTTCCTTAAAAACCATACACAAGGATCTGTATAGAGACATGTTTCTCAGTGATATCAATGTCTTGTTTCTTTTTGCTGGAATCAGTGCTGCAAAGATCGCCTTTTACTGTCTTAGTATATCTTTGAAAACAGAGGTGCAAGAACTGAATGGTGATCGGTTGGAGCAATTGATGAGTAGATTTGGCGGATTCGACCTTGTTGCCAGTAGCATCCCGTGTAACAATCTTAATGTTCATGGCTTTAAGATGGTGATGATTTGCTTACTTTGTATTCCATGTATTTAAAAGTATTAACATAAAGTGATATTCAGAAATCTTTAAATTATTTCAAAATTATGTTAATTCATATAAAAGAATAAATTGAATTTTCAAAAATAAATTGAATCTCAAATAAATTGAACTTGAAATATATAGAATTGTATTCAAAGTTATGGCAAGCATAAGAATGATAAAAATTCAAATGTCTCAACAAATTATAAGCATAAGTATTTCTAAATTAATCAAGTTGACACAATTTAGAGAAATGATGTAAGCTTTTGTCTGGAAGATCTCAAATGTTGTCAAAATGCTTGTAGATGTGTAGTTTCTCCCAAACTGTCAAAATCTTAAGAGAGTTCAATTGCCAGATGCCTAATATCAACCTGCATTTGAGCCGCCTTTTCAGGTTTTCAACTCAAATCCTTCCTTTGGTTACAAGATGCCCTTTGCGGGTTTTCACCTTGACCCCCCTTTTTTTTCTTCTTCTTTTTTTTTCTTTTTTTTCATTTTTTTTCACTTTTTTTTCACTTTTTTTTCTCTTCAAGCATAATATTTCTTGACAGAATCCGAGTTTATTGGATTTCTCAGAATTTTTCCATCCATTTCTGCTAAGATCAATGCTCCTCCGGAAAAAGCCTTTTTTACAACATATGGCCCTTCCCAATTAGGCATCCATTTCCCACGGAAATCTTTATGTATAGGCAAGATCTTTTTTAATACTAGATCACCCTCTTTGAACTCTCTTGGATGTATTTTTTTGTCATGAGACTTCATCATCCGTTTTTGATACATCTGTCCATGGCAAATAGCTTTCAATCTTTTCTCCTCAATAAGGTTCAATTGATCAAATCTAGCTTGGATCCATTCAGATTCATCCAATTTTATTTCTCTCAATATTCGAAGCGATGGAATCTCAACTTCAATTGGTAAGACTGCTTCCATTCCGTAGACTAAAGAAAAAGGCGTTGCCCCAGTAGATGTTCGAACAGTAGTTCGGTATGCATATAGAGCAAAAGGTAACTTCTCGTGCCAATTTTTATAAGTTTCAGTAGTCTTTGTAATGATTCTCTTGATGTTATTGTTTGCTGCTTCAACTGCCCCATTCATCTTTGGACGATATGCCACTGAGTTTGCATGTTTGATCTTAAACTGTGCACAAAGTTCGGTCATCATTTTGTTGTTCAGGTTCAGAGCATTATCTGTAATGATCCTTTCTGGTAGGCTATACCGGCAAACTATCTCTTTCTTTATGAATTTGCAGACTGTGGATCTCTTAATATTGGTATATGAAGCAGCTTTAACCCATTTGGTAAAATAATCAATTGCCACAAGGATGAAACAATGTCCATTCGATGCTTTTGGTGTGATTGCTCCAATGACATCTATTCCCCACATAGAAAATGGCCAGGGTGCTGTCATTACATGTAAAGGAGATGGGGGTACATGAATCTTGTCTGCATATATCTGGCATTTATGACATTTCCTTGCATAATCAATGCAATCTGTGTTCATGGTAGCCCAATAGTATCCATATCTCATTATTTTTCTGGCCATGGAAAGACCATTTGCATGTGTTCCACATATTCCACTGTGTACTTCTTTAATGATGCTTCGAGCTGCACTGGTATTTAAACATCTCAATAGCATTTGATCATTGCTTCGTCTATACATAATTTCTCCATCAAGAAAATATCCAGCAACCATTCTTCTCAAGGTTCTTTTATCAATTTCAGATGCATTTGGTGGATAACTTTGATTTTTGATATATTGCAGAATATCATGATACCATGGTTTACCATCTGCCTCTTCGTCCACACTATAACAATGTGCAGGAATTTTATATACTTGCATTTTGATTGGCATCATATCAACTTTTTTAGTTGCTTGAAACATAACAGCTAATGTAGCCAAAGCATCTGCCATTTGATTTTCTTCTCAAGGGAGATAATTGAAGGTAACTTTCTCAAATTCTTTCACTAATTCGAGGGTAAAATTTTGATATTCCAACAATTTGGGATCTTTTGTTTCCCATTCTCCTCGCAATTGATACACCACTAACGATGAATCTCCATATATTTTGAGACGATTTTTCTTTCTATAGCTGCTTTCAATCCCATGACACAAGCTTCATATTCTGCCATGTTATTGGTGCAAAAGAACTCCAGTCTACTTGTAAAGGGATAATAAACATTTTCTGGAGAAATTAACACTGCCCCGATTCCTCGTCCCAAGGTATTAGATGCTCCGTCAAAGTAAAGCTTCCAAAATGCAGATGTGACATTTGTTCTGACTTCTTCATTCATGGATATACATAACAAATCTTCATCAGGAAAATTGAAACTCAAAGGTTGATAATCATTTGATACACGACTGGCCAGAAAATCAGCTATGACACTTCCTTTTATTGCTTTTTGGTTGACATATACAATATCAAACTCAGATAATAACATCTGCCATCTAGCCATTCTGTCTGTCAAAGCTGGTGATTCCATTAA